TGTTCTAATTAACTGAAGTCCTTATAACTTTCGTTGAAGGCAATATTGAAGGTGACTTTCAGATCATTTCTCGTCAGCTATTTTCGACATGTTCATCTCTAATGCTTGTTACACAATTATTCTATCCGTTTTTTGTTTTGTTTTTGTTTTATTTGTGGGGCCTTGGATATTGCAGTCCAAACTCAGTGACGTATGATCTTAGCTTTACTCCGAGGCTGTCTGATTTCATATATAGTTAGTCTTGACATTCATATTTTATATGCATTTCAACTTGTCATGTTCTCGTTCGTAGACTTTCTATTTGATTTTCGTTTTCCAATTTTCTTTCTCAAACTGTCACTTATTTCAATTTCATTCGTGCTTTCGATCTTTTATCAGATTTCAGCTTTAAATGTTATTACCTTAAGTTATTTCATCTTCATCATCATCATCAGGTTTCTTGTTTCTTCTCCTATATCTCTTCTCGATTGCACCTATTTAGTTGCATTATTTTCTTTTCTGTTAGTTTCTTATCTATCTTATTATCGAGATTATTCCTCATTTATTAATCTTATTTCCATACACATATAAAAGTGGACAATGAAGTCAGCTCTGAAACAACAATATGTTTCATGTTTAATGTAATCTCCAGGCCTGACGATTGCGCTTAGAATAGAACAGAGTTCACATCAACGTATATAATATAGATGGATAATACGTCTATATTTTTGAGATGAGGTATTATGCACACTATTTACATTATTCGGACTATTGTCTTCATCTTTGTTGCCATATTTATCAACGACACATGGCACGGTGGATAAAGGCGTTCGTTAGGTCCAGTGACAGGACCCAAAGTGTGTGAGTTCAATACCTGGTGGATGAACTTGCAGAGGGGAATTAACAGGAGATAACTGATAACTGACATCCATTAGACATGGCACGTGGAACTAGAAAAGTCTACCCCAGTGAGCGAAATAAAGGGTTCATTTCGACATTCCAACCACCTGAAGAAGGCCGGAGCGTACAACAGCCGAAACGTTGTAATAAATATGGCGACAAAGTTGAGGACAATAGTCCGAATAATGTAAATAGTGTATATAGATAATATATAATATGGATGTATATTTTTTACTTATCAATTGTATTTCTTTATTTCTCTGTCAGTCTGTCCATATAACGTTTTCTCTTCTTCAGTTTCTTACCATCTATCTATTTTATCTGTATATATATATATATGTGTGTGTGTGTATAGTCATCCACAGACAGACTGTTTCGCTGTGTCTCAGCTTCTCAGTGTGGCCAGACGTCTGATTGCTTCAATATATATATATATATATATATATATATATATATATATATATATATATATACTAATTAATAGATAACCATATACGTATTTAAAATATGAAAATTTGAGATAAAATATTTTTGAAAGGACCACTTTGTCGGAATTCTCAAAATAGACAAGCCAAAAACAAGCCTTTTAACATGTCCTGACCTTGCCTATTTTAGGAATTTCTAGAAAGTGATCCTTGAACAAATATTTTACCACAAAATTATTCTTATTTTAAATGCATAGCTGATTCCCTATTAATAAATACAGAAGATATAGTTTTACCCGATCTTGTTAACAAACTTTACATATATATATGCCTGTACATATCTGTCTATCTGTAGATCTCTCTGTACATATCTGTCTATCTGTAGATCTCTCTGTACATATCTGTCTATCTGTAGATCTCTCTGTACATATCTATCTATCTGTAGATCTGTCTGTTCATATCTATTTATCTGTTCATCAGGCTATCTACATATCAGTCTTCCTATCTATCTATTTTTCTATCTGTCTGTTTGTTCATATCTAGCTGCTCATCACGTTGTTCATATTCTATCTATATTTATATAATTTTAATCAATTTCGCCCCAAGCAAGGTAGTAAGACCCAATGTGTTACTGGGTTTAGAAGTATAAGAAAACAGAGACATTGCTATAGAGGGAGAATAGTAGAAATGTAGCAGAAAGATGGAAGGTAACGATTGGCATTTCATTTAAATTTTTGCAGATCAAATTTGACTGAAAAACATGGAGCCATAGAGAGTTCCATAAACGAAAAGCAAGTTATATCTAGACAACTCAACTGTAAATTCTTGTGACACAGTCGCCAGCTTAGCACTGCGCTTAAATTCAAATAGCCTAGGTACCATAGAGAAGACCCCATCAGAACAATTACCATAAAAGTGTTTGTAGACACAGGGAGGCAAATTTTATGGCAGTGAGAAAATGACTGAAGCCGAGACGCCAGATCAGGACCAATAATATTGATGATTCTTCTTTGGATTTTATCAAAGCTCTAGATATATAGCAGGAGCAGAGGACCGTATGTGGCAGCAATATTCTCCGCATGGACGAACGGTAGACTTATAGATATGTAAGATAGATTCCGGAGAGAGGCGGTTGTCTAGCATGGCATAATAAGACAAATTTCTTAGCAACTGACCTCGCAATGAATTCAATATATTCTCTCCCCCTTCATGTCAGCCGAGTACGTTAGCGCAACGAGTCATTCTGTTGGATATTAGCGTCAGCCATGTTGATAAAAAGCAGAAAGCGGTCTCTCAGATTATTAGTAGAAATTTCGAGGCGTAAAAATTAATATATATGTGTGTGTGTGTGTGTAAGGTCGGTCTCGTGCATTCTTGATTTGCTTATCTCATTTTTAAGATTTCTCTTTTCTAAACATCACATTTTTCGCTATATTGTGGCTTTTTTTTTATCTAATTTCTCACATATGTCTTGTATTTGCTTTATTTGCCTTTCTTATTATTTTGATTTTCCTCTTCCAGTCTTGGTAATCTACAAGTCAACTTTGCTTTCATTCTCATTTTTTTTTCTCCTTCACATCTGAACAACTGATTTTCTCAATACTCAATCTAGCATTGTACGAATTTTCACTTTGACCCTTCACCTTCCTCTCCATTTCCCATGGCTTTTCTATTTTTCCCCCTCAAACACTTTACATGTCTCATATTTGGACACGAATTATAGAAAACATTCTAGGTAAAATCAAATAATCCAAATCTCTTGTAAATGTTGCCGCCAGGAAATGGTCAGTCGATTCTTCGTAGGAAAAATATGTGAAAATAATCAAGCAAAAGACCAAGTAATTTATCAAATCCAACATTCTGATTTTTCTAATGTTACTTTAGTGGCGTTTTGTTTGTCGGTTTTGATGATGTAATTGTTTGAATTCATTTTCTTTTGTTTCAATTATCATTACACACTCGGCCTGGTGCATTCCCTTTCGGCGTGTTTTTCCCACAACTCTTTCTTGCCTTTCATTGATGTCGTTCTCTTTTATCCCATTTATTCCTTCATTGATTTATTCAATATTTTGGTTTTCATTTCCTCTTTTTATTTATTTCTATTACTTATTCACTTTCTTTTCTTTTTCTCAATTGCGTTCATTTTCTCTTTTATTTAATCATTCGTTACTACTTAGCGCAATTTATTAATTCTCTGTAGACCGTTCTCCATTTTCTCTTCTCTCTCTTGCTGTCATAGTTATTCGTTTACTTTATTTTTTTAATTCAAAAATTATTTTATCGCATTTTTTTTTTGTTTGTTTTCTGTTTGTTTCTTCGTTGTTTTCTATAACTTTACTTTTCTCTTGAATGTGTTGTTATGCTTTTGCAATTTCTGAAATTTTACATACTATTTATTTTTCCTCATCAGGTTCACACACTTCTTCGGTTTTTGTATAAGAGTAGAAGTTTATTCTTTGTTTCCTGTTTAGGATTGCGTTCCTTCTAAATATTTTTTCATTCGTTTTCCGTAGCCACCTTTGCGTCTTAGTGGCCTTATCGCCTTGCTTCGGTTGAATTGATTACAAAGAAAAACTGACTTATAAGCAAGAGAAAAAAAATTCCAATTGTAGGTTATCTACTCCCATTTATTTTTCTGTCCTCATTTTTTCTTCTCCCTTGAGCACTTTGTTTTATTTACTCAACTTAAGTCTGGCATTAGGCCATTAATTTCAGGCACTTAATGAGAATCATATTCACTTGAGAAACTTGCTTGCTAAAAACAATTTCATAACAGGGTATCTTAATAACATTCTTTTAGAATTTTCTTTTATCGCCAGAACACTTTTTGTTTTTAACAACATTTTAATACCAGGATCTTCTTCCGGGACTACTTAAATTAGCTGGTCCGCTCGTAAAATAAAAGGAAAGTTGTTGGGTTGGATATCTTTTGTAAATTACCATTCATTATATCATCAAAAATCCACCACATGCATTTTTATCATTTTAGAGGAGGGGTCCTTTTTATGATTAAAAAAAATGCAGTGTCAAATTGCTCACTAACCTCTTACAGAATTATCTGTACTTTTTTATTTATAAATGTCATCAAGTTGAAACGCTAGTTCTCGTACGAAGTTAAGCAAAGTCGAGCCTGGTGTAATAAATAACGGCTCGGAATTATAAATCAGAGAACCGAGTTCTAGTTCCAGTTGTATTCTCTTACACGCAAGTACTATTAGGAAAAGTATGAATCCACCTCTTCTCTCCCCCAGCTATGGGTTAATCAGTAGGATTTGTATCACTAAATCTTTATTACCTTTAAAAATTGTCTTACAATCTAAAAATATGTTCTGTCTTTAAATAACCCGTAAAAGGTTGATAAGCCGTAAAAATAATTCAATAAATCAACAAATGTCAAATTTGGAACTATGCTTAAGATACTAATAATTACCGAATACTGATATTGGTATTTATCTCAGTTTCGAAATTACCAATTTTTTCCCCACAATATTGCTCCTATTTTTTACGTGTGTTTCTGTCGATTTAAGTAGATCCTCTCTCTCTCTCTCTCTCTCTCTCTCTCTCTCAATAAATATATATATATATATATATATACCCTGTATTGCTGTTTCCTAGGAAGTGACACTAATCCTGTTCTCTAGTAATAAACACCAGATATTACACGTCTAAAAACCTCAACAATAATTAGATATGAAC